CCGAAATTCTATCCAAGGAATGAGGTCATTCGCCTCAGAAATTGAGAGCTTGGGAAAGTTGAGGCACAAGAACTTGGTCCATCTCCAAGGCTGGTGCAAGAAGAAGAAGAAACTCCTCATTGTCTACGATTACATCCCATATGGAAGCTTAGACTCGCTCATTTTTGGGTCCGAAGACAACTTTGTGTTGAGCTGGGCACAAAGATTCAACATCCTCAAAGGCGTTGCATCAGGGCTTTTGTACCTGCATGAGGAATGGGAGAAAGTGGTGATTCATCGTGATGTGAAGTCGAGTAATGTCTTAATAGATGCAGACATGAACCCGAGGCTAAGCGACTTCGGCCTTGCTAGGCTGTATGATCACGGAGAGATATCACACACTACATGTGTGGTTGGCACAATTGGGTATATTGCACCAGAATTGGCTCGCACAGGGAAGGCCTCCACACGCTCTGATGTGTTTGCATATGGAGTTCTGCTCCTTGAAGTGGCTTGTGGACAGAGACCTATCGGCTCAGGCGAGTTCATATTGGCAGATTGGGTTATGGAGAATCATGTAATGGGTCGCATACTGGATACAGTTGATCCAAATTTGGATTCGAATTTCGTTGTTAAAGAGATGAAGTTGGTGCTGGAACTAGGTTTGCTTTGCACTCACTACAAACCAGAAGCTAGGCCTACCATGAGACAAGTGGTTCGATATCTCAACGAGGATGAGCAGCTTCCTGAAGTCGAAAACTGGAACCTTGTTGATTCCAGGCGGGTCAGTGAAATGAACTCGAGATTTATGAATATCCTTTTGGGTGATACGATCACATCGTACCCTTCATCGTCCATAGGTGAGATGTCCTGCAGTTCCATGAACGCCGGCAGATAGTAGCGCTAATGTACTTTTCGACGTAAATTCTTTTCATTTATTACTTTTCGAATCAACATTGTAACACTTGTTTCATACAGAGATACATATTACAAAGATTATCGCAACTCTCTTTTAAGTTTACTAAACATTGGATTTGATGAAAACTATTGGCTCAACATGCAACCAAATCCAAAACAAAAGAAAGGACACCTTAACTGTAGCCTCAGTAAAGTGAGGATGTTCAAAGAGCCAAAAACCGAAAAGTACAGAGATGCATCCGTAATGCAAAATCGACGAAAACAAGTTTCTAACTTCCATGACGCCTATCTTTAGACCTCAACAAATACCGCTATTAGACAGAAATGATCAATTACTCACAAACGAACCAGTCACTTCTCATTGATTCATAATGCGCCTCACAATCGCATAAGCCCAAGCTGTTGTTTCACTTAGACTTTCGTCATCGGTTTGAAGACACTCCTGCAAAATTCCCTCAAAGAATGCAAAATCCCCAAACAGTGGCTTGATGGTTAGGCCAAGCACATCAACAAGGTCACCCAGCGCAGAAACTGCAGCTTTTGTCACATTGGCATCCCTATAAACAACGAACAAGGACATTGAATACGAACAAATCAGATTATAAACCCGAAAGACCAGACATTTCGGGTCAGAACACACACACACACACACAAATATATTAGAGAGAGAGAGAGAGAGAGAATACCTGTTTACGTCCCTTAAAACCAATTCTATAAACTGCAGGAGATGTTGGGCATATGGCAACATGACCTCAGGCTTTGAATCCTTAAAGCCCTGAAGTATACCAGAATAAGCTTCAAAGATGCTACACTTTAGCTGGTTTCCATATTCCATTAACTCCTCATCACTAGTGTCCATCCGAGCACAAAGCTCCGAAGCTCCCTGCATCATCTGCACTGCATAAGGGACATACTTCTCAAAATGTTCTCCAATTGCAAGACCTATGTCGCCAAAGACAGAGAATATGGGAGGCTTGACAGACCGGTGGAGCGCTTCACTTGACAAGTCCTTCATCAGGTGACTCATAATCCCATCACAGTACGGTAATGCCTTCTCATCCAATGCACGGAAAATGTCACCAACCACCCCAACTGTGATAGCACATACTTGAAACTCCCCAAAATTCTGCAACCCCATCTCCAAATACTTGTACAATTCAGGAAGGTACTTTTCAAACCCAGGCCCAGTTGCATAAGCCAGCGCACCAATAGCAAGCATTGCTTCCTCATGTACTGTAGAACTACGACAGGCAAACACTCTAAGAAACAGAAGCATTATCTGATCAGCTGCTTCCAATATAATACGCTTACTTTCATCATCACTGGTAAGCTTCTGAATAATAACCTGTAGAACACCACAAAAAGAAGCTTGCAAGTCTCCTTGCTTTTCCTGGTCATCTGACGATACAATCGAAAGTTCTAAAGTCTGGCCCAACTTATTCATAATAACAACAAGTAGTTGTGCTATAATTTGTGATGTTTCTTTAATATTAGAACACCTCACAACAGCATTCAACGATTCATAAGCAGAAGACCTCAATCTAGAATCATCACCATCTGTACGATTAGCAGTGGAAATAAGACATTCAATGATGCCCGGCACATACGGAGTAAAGAGAGAGGAGCAGGTTTCCTCATACCCCTGAGAAAGGTGATAGATGGCCCAACAAACCTTCTCTGCAACATTTGGGGCATCCTTAGTGCCTTCCGCCAATATTTCCACCACCTTTGGAAGGTTAGCAGAAGAAATCACAGTACCATCAGGACCGTGCAAAAACTCGAATATACGACTAAGAGTCCAGGCAGTAGTGTCTTTGACATGGTTATTTTCATCTTTCATTAACCTAAGCATAAAATCCAAACCTGAATGGACCAGAACAGATAGCTTCTCTATGCTTGGGCCTTCAAGTACCGAGCCAAATGCAAATGTAGCTGCCTCACGACAGTGCCAATCTGGCTTCACTATGTTAGCCTCCACAAATGGCATCACAAGGGGCAGAATGGCATCTCCAACAGTCCTTGAAACAAGTTGTAGGCACGTCCCACCAGCCATCGCAACATTCCAAATGTTGTCATCTTGGTCTTGATTTTCTTCCTGTTTCAGCAAAGTTTCTAGCAACATTGGAACTAAAGATGACAAGGCTTTTTCTATAAATTTTGAATGAGAGTCCCCAGTGTCAGAGATCTCAAATTCTTGAAGCTCTATTTCTTCATCACAAATGGAGCTCCAAAACTCAATTGCTTGAAGGGCAACTGTCTCTTCATCCCCTTTTACAGCATTTGATGTAAGCTCAAAGAGAGCCTGCATGTAAGGCCCAAGCAACTCATAATATCTAGAAGCAATTGAAGCGAGACACTCAAAAGCAGCCTGCCTAATTTGAACCTCCTTAGACAAGGCCGTCTCGCAGACCATCTTCATGATGAAATCCCGTTCCATCTGAGTGTCAAAGTTGGTTTGTGCGAACTCCAGGGCATTATATAAAGCCCTTATTGCAGCCAGATGAACTTCAGGGCTATTTTCAGCAAGGTTCATTCCCTGGACTACAGCAGTAAGAACATTGTTCACCTCGCCTTGCTCAAGATCTTGATGAGATATCTCCTCACATACATAACCAAGTGCTTCCAAGGTTGACTGCTTCAAACCAGCTGCACTATCTCGCTGAGTCATATTGTTGAGCAAAGACCCGATTAGGTCAGGCCATTGTTTCCTGGGAATATCAATAGATGCAATTTTTGCAATAACTTGGGCAGATGTGTGTCTTGCTTCCGGGACAGATGACCCAAGTGTCCTTAAGAGCAAGTCCTTAATTTGGGATACAATAGAAATATCAATAGCCATCCATTGTCGAGTAAGAATTTCTTTTGTACCAGCATCTTTGGCATCTAATGAATTCTTAAGCACAAGACCAGCCAACGTACGGGATTCAGTGGGTTTCTCATTGTTTGCAAGCTCAACGGACAACGACAGAAGAAAAGCAGGAAGGTTTTGCTCTTGGAATTGCCTAATATTAGCCTCTGCTTCAGTACGAACCCTTGCATCTGCTGATTGAGCTGCCAATAGAAACTGAGTAATCTCCACAGCCATTTCGTTCCTACTACAAAAGAAGAGAGAAGCTGAAAAAGAATATATAAACAGGAAAAAATTGTTTACTTAAAACCAATAATTTCTTAAGGCTATACAATATGTAGCAGACTATATATGTAATAAATTAAGAGAGACGTTATTCCCACTCCAATGTCTTATTTCTCCACCCATTTTTTGATAAAATTCTCAATTACAAGTTTGCCTATTTGTGAAATGACAGATAAGGACCTTAAAGGATATATAATAATACTAATTTGGGCGCAAAAAAGTAACAGGAGCCCTAGATTTACATTGGGTTGTGAAAGAAATGGGCAAAATGTAAGCTGAATTCGCAAAAAAAGGCATAAAGGTTGAAGATAGAAAGAATTATGGAGCGAGAAAGTGTGGATGTCTTTTTCCAATTAAAAGGTAAGAAGCTAGCAATTAATGATGATTGGATATTAATGGTAGTTACTGGAGGGCATAATCATACATTTCGAGCATCATTCATTTGCTGGTAGATTAAAACAAGCAGAAATAAACAAAATCAGCAGATCTATCACCACAAACGCAAACCGAAGTCCACAGATTGAGATTAGAAGAACGAGAATTACCACGTGCGCTAGCCGAATGAGTAGCAGCGGCGGCGAGCGAGCTCTAAAACCCTACTCGACGAACACGCAGAGCGAGAAGCGAGGACGACTTCGGCTTCTCTCTGTACGTTTGCGCCGTGAGAAGGCAAAGCACACAGAGAGAGGGAGGAGAGAGAGTGCGGAGGAAGATGAACTAATCGGCGATTTATACAAATGGTTGTATATTTCGAATATGGGTGGAAGAAGCGGGAGGGAGAGAAGAAGGGTCACCTAAATTTTTCTGAAGTAAGAACCAGCGGGCAGGGGTCTTGTGCCTGCCCGAGCTACCCGGGTCAACCGCCTTTGAAAACCCTAGTATTTGAAGTCTCCCACGTGTGAGTGGTTGTGATATGATTCAGTTCAGCAAATTACCAAAACTACCATTGTATTTTAGGATCTCAAGCGTGAGTGTGTGAACTTAAGGTAAAATACATTGCACAAGAAATATAGGATGACATGAAACACGTGTGATCGTTGGGATTCACACGTGGGCTAACCAGACTAATACCATAAAAAAAAGTTATAGCTATACAATACATCAAGTAGTACGAAGCTTATGATCTATTTCTCTTGCGTTTTACACTGCACTGAACTTGTTCATTGACAGGGCTTTTCACTCCACAGAGCTTATGCTTCATCCGCCAAGGGAAGAAAACCTGCACACCGTTCTCGAAACACAAGCCTCCGCCGTGCCGGTATAATTCCACGGATAGCGGAGTCTCTTGCTTGAACTGATTTGTGACACATTTAGCTTCAGTGTAGATGATGCAGCCAATGCAGTGGCATCCGGAAGAAACCGCTCGATGATGAAGTCCGGACACGTTTGATCCATCTCGTGGCTTGACTCTGCAAGCTTTAGCTTCAAGCTGTAGGTGAGTGATAAGAAAGGAAACGGTAAGAGGCAGTTCAATAAAAATAATTGCTGGACGGTTGAAAATTTATGGACATTTTGTGCAGTCCGTTTAGCTGTAAGTTCACTTTAAGTGGTCACAGGTGCTCAGGTAGAAAGACCCCTTTGTATGAAATTTGGAAGGGACCCCTTGGCTTACTTGGAAGGATCTTCTATGTATAGGGGTTGGCATAGGTCCATGTAGGGATGTTTTGTTTCAAGTCAATCATCTAACAAATTGGGAACTACGCACTAATAGAGCTGCTCCAAACTCTTAATAAAAAATAAAATCAGACAGACATCTTAGGCGTGCATCTAATTCTTTTTTTGATAAAAAGTTTGTAATTAGTTCTATCTGTGTGTATTTCCCGAAAAACAAACAAGAAAACAGAAATCCTCATACTCTATATCGTATGAGAAAAGTTAGTGCGGAGTGTCCAGGAGAAGAGGAGGATGCAGATCTGGCTCTGAATTTGGCACCAATAAGCCTCTTTGAAAATAAATCATTTTCGTGCCGGTTCTTGATGAAAACCGTGAAGCTTATACAACAAATGAGAGAACAGAACGACAAGATTACAACACATTGCAAACCACTTGGCAAAAACAAAGGGTAGACACATCTAAATTGGACAGACACACATCACAAGCTTACATGATCATGTACAAGATACTTTTCGCCTTTGGTTACTTCCGCTCCCGTCTTTGCTGGAGTAGTATGTCAGACAGTAGCAGCAGCAGGTCTCTGCGCTACTTAATAAGTTGATCCAATCAATAAACAGCTGATCTATTTACACGCTATCTTGCTGCTCTCTACTCTCCTCCGTGAATCCAAATTCTCTCCTTGCTTCCGCTTTACATACCCTTTTCCAAGGCCATGGGAATCTACAATTGTACGCTTCTAGAGACAAAATCCAACGGATTGCCCTATGCTGACAATTGCTGCCCATTCCCATGTTAAATGAATCGGGTAGCAACAGCATGATTGCCCCAAAGACGGTAAAGAATAATCGCTCCGTGGTTCTCTCACTTCTTTTGTTCATTGACACGTTCCCGTGCTTTAGAATAGAGTTCCTGAGTGTCAGCATGGTTGGGATCAAGACAGAGGGCTGCTTCACAGTCTCGCACAGTGAAAACAAAATTGCTCATTGACTCGTGGAATGCTGCTCGAAGATGTAGCAGTTGCAGGTCTAGCTTGAAAGTTATGGCTTTTGTTAGCTCTTCGATGGCTTCTCCTTCTTTGTGGTCATCCATCAAAACTGTTGGGCCATAATTCCCATGTTAGTAGTTCAGAGTTTTTTCACACTCACAGACACACTTTTCTTAGAAAAATTCATGGTTTAACACTGTACAGCTTTGATAACATAATCATATGAAGCAGATAACAGATCACAACCTAGGTTCATCCAACAGAATGTCAAAAAATGTTTGATCGGTTTTATATTTCCCTTCTTTTCGTTTTTCGGCTTTTCACTCAGAAGCCCTTGTTAACAATATACTTCAGAGAAAAACAATTCAAACCCAAAACTTTAGAAGGACAAAAAAAAACCCAGCTGCCTTTGTAAGGAGAAGGGCACCAAACAAAGTCCATAACTAAGAATCCTTAAGAACATCACAAGTGGATAGACGAGGTTTTATCTTTCTCCAGTTGAGCTCCTTAAGTGTTTTTTATAGAACTTACAGTTGTCAGGTTTTTTTCTCTAATTTATTATTTATTAAACAATCTACTTCCATCTTTTATAGTAAGTTTGGCCAGTTAAACTGACGAATGCTTAGCAATTGAAACTCCAACGAGCAGAATGGGCCACTAGCCCATCTGCTTGAAGACCTAGATATGTCTATTCTAGTTTCTAAGTGATTGAATCGACATATAGCAGCTCTACACTAAGTTAAGCCCAAAGGATTTGGAATCAATAATGACAGGCATCTCTGTATATTTAAATAGTAAGAAAAACGCCATGGATGCAGTAGGGCGTTCATCTCTGAGCACTAAGACTAAGCATAAGCATCAACTTCCACTTAAAATGGCATGCACCAAACAAATGAGAACTATAGTCAGAACATACCTGCTGCCCTATATCTGTACGGATATGTCCTCAGGGGATCTAGTTGTGTTGCCATACTTAGATCACTCTTTGCCATGTCACGGTCACAGTATTCTGAACGTTTCTCAAAAGCTGATGCATTGTTTCGAGCCTTCTCTATCAGCTTTGTCATCTCATCATATGCAGCCTTGCGTTGATTTTTAAGATGATATACTCGTGCTAGACCCTGATGTGCTCTCGTATGCTTAATGTTGAGTGCATTTGTGTAGCAATCGGCAGCAAGATCCAGCTTATCAGAATCTACATAGACACTTCCTAAATTATTTAGTGCCTGCAGGATAACAGACCAATCTGATTAATTTGACGTTTAGATAACAAGATCGAAAAAATTATTCTTAGGATGACACTTACTTGTCCTTTTCTAAGACCATCCGAAGGGCATCTAAGTGCTTCCTCTAGAAGCTGGATCACATATGTTGAAGAATCAGAATCAAGACTTGAGTCTGCTAAAGCATATGCTTTAAGGAAAAATGCTTCAAACGATCTCTGGATAGCAATGGACTCCTCTGCCTTTGCCAATGCTTCTTCCCGATGGCCAGTGTCATACAAGATCCATCCTTCATAGACAAGCCTCTCATGCTCAGAACTAGAATGATTCCGGGCCAACCGCAGACTATGCATAGCAGCCTTTTGACAATTTAACCTACGATTTTCAGGAACGTCAGAGATGCTTCTAAAACAGACTAATATAACAACCAACGACATCAAAGAAGCAATAGAATCCTTCTCTATGATGTCTTAGGATCAGACGAGGTTTAGAATTCTGCCCAACATGCAATATAAAGTCCGTCAGGCACATACAATTCCTATGAACCAAAAGTGACAAATTCTACTTGTGTCAAGAACTTAAGATGTTATGTTGTGGATTAAGCCCTTCATACAAAAACAATACAACTGATTTTAAAAAAGGAAGTTAATTAAATCCACAAGCAAATTATAGATAGGCTAGTTGGTATAGTAATGTACGCTTTCTCCTACTTACCGCAACAGAAGGAGAGACTGCCTAAAGCGTAGAAGGCTCTTCCCAGGGTCATTTGCCAACATATGATGTACAACAGCTAGAGAACCAATATCATCAACAGAGGACCATCGATCATATAGTTGCATCCAACAATCAGCCTGACTCCACTGTTGAACAAAAGGGCAGAGCAGCTCTACCAGATGGTCACCATGCATTTTCCCATGAAACATCATGTAATTTGGGTCCAAAGTCAAGAGTGCCCGGACATCTCTGAGAGCTCCTTCAAAATCTTCGAGGGCAATTGAAAACCAAGCCCTCAATTCGAGACAATCAGGGGAGACCTTGAAACTAATTATCTTATTGATCTCTGTAATAGCTGCTTCAAACTGGTTCTCCTCCAACAAAGAAACAGCCCTATACTTGTATGGATAAGATAGAGTTGGATCCAAGTGAGTAGCGGTGCTCAAATCCATCATCTTTTCCTTTCCAATACAATACAGAGATCGCTCCTGATACATCCACCCAACCGGTGTATAATCAGAAATGAGAGAGTTCATTTGCTTGTAAGCCGCATACTTATGGCCACGCTTGAACTTGGCCCTTGCAATGCCCACCAAGGAATAAATATGACCAACCTCTACTGCTGCTTCAAACCACCACTGAGCATCTTTAAATTCTTTCCTCTCAAGCATCACAACACCCAACAGGTGAAATGCAAGTTGCTTCTGCCAACTTTCGGTGGCACACTCTGCCAGCCTCTCTAGAAGCATCACCGTTGTGTTCGATCTCATGTCATCCTCAATAGCAACCTGGCTCAAAAAATAATACAAAATGAAAGAAGAGTGCCCGGACATAGCCAACCTTTGCCTAGCTTCTGAAGTACAAAATAATCTCATCATATGAGAATTGTGCAACGAACTCGGTAGCTCCCTCAAAAACACCTGCAAACAAGCTGCCACGAGAAAATGAGCAGTCTCCTCCAACCCATAGTCAATCAGCAGCATTGCATCTTCCAGTTCACAAACCAGAGATGCCAAATGAGAATCACATGCCGTCTTCAACTCATCGCAACAAAACGTGTTTGCAAAGGATAGCAGGTCCAAAACAGTTTTCACTTCAAAAGAATCTACTCTTTTTATCCTGCTAAAAATCTCCACTGCCCTCATTGCCTCCACAGATATCCCATTCTGTGTGAAATTTATCTTCTCCCTTCGTGTCTCCGTGAAGTTACCCAACATTGCATTAAAAGGCCTCGAAAGCGAAGCAATGTTGTATCGAACACACCTAATCTCGGCATCTCCAATACAAAACGACATATCACCATCCTCCTCCGAAGTGGAACATTCCTCATCCCCCATCACAAGATCATCATCGTCACCTTGCCCCTGCGGCGTCCTAGAACACATACAAGACTCAAAAACAGACTCAGGATCGTACCCGGAAACCAAACTAGCCTTCGGACATTCAACATTTCTACCACAACAATACATTGCTGACGACCCAATAAGCTCATCCTCTCTCCTCTCATACCTCAACCAAGACGTCAGCACCACCTTCGAGTGCACATCAACCGCGTGCTGCCTCGCCGACCTGAGGCTCCGCCGGAACAATTTCGGATCCGAAAGGCCCCGAAACGTCGCACATTGCTCCAAATACATCTTCCACTTCTCGAATTGGGGGCAAATCACAATCCTACGGTACACATCAGCTAGGGTTTCCACAAAATCGACCGATTTGAGGGATGGTTCGATTTGGGGCTCAAGGAGATCGGACACCGGCAGACCGTAAGGGAGAAGAGTCTCGAGCAAAACATTGTTGGCGGTAGGGTTCGGAGCCTGAAAACTGCCCCGACTCGCTCTGGATCGAATCGAGTTGACCCGGAGATGGTCGTAAAGAAGCTTGTCCCCCGAACCACCACCACCACCGCCGTTTCCGCCGGCGGCAGTAGCTCCGGAAGGATTAAGCGCGAAAACTTGACTTCCTTTACACCCATCCATGATCTTCAAGCTCCGCATTGTAGTAAATATATTATGCTGCATCTTCCAAAGTACCGAACTTTTTCAAATTTCCCAAACCACCCTCAAAATTCAAAGCTCTAAATTCAAACAAAATACAATTAATTCAATAAAATTTGAAGAAATAGATAGGTAATTGAGACCTAACTCATTGCCCAGCAAGCACCACCGTTTGGGCACCCAGAGAATAAAAAAAAAAAGGACACAAAATTGGAGGCGGGAACGATGGTGGTGCAGGCGAATTCGAGGTGGGGAAATCGCAGATTTTACTGGGTATTTTTCTTTTTCCCAAAGAAAATGGAGAGAAAGTTGGGGTGTTTTGAAGAGAAAGAGAGGAGGGAGAGAACGAAGGAATGATTGCTCACATTGACTTGCAAAATTTGCAGCCAGATGTGTTGAGGTGGAGGGTGGCCTGCCTGGCCGTTGCAACCGCGATCTCTCTCTTTTTTCCCTCTTTTTTTTTTCTTTCTATTTTTTCTGATTTTTCTTGTCTTGTCCGTCTAAATATGCAAAGCCTTTCCTTTTCTCTCTGTTTATTTGCTGTTTTTATTTATTTATATATTTTTATAAATGTATATATTTGCAGGTGTATTTTTGTGTAATGTCTGAGAGTGACAAGATGGATTATTGGGTATTTGTAGTGTTTTGGGACACAGGAGGATAGGCGTTAAAGTCGGCCTACCTCCCTCTCTCTCCGATCTTTGTTTACTAGAAAGACAGCTACAAATATTATTATTTAGACAAAGATAAATTTAGACGTAGATTAGCAAACAAGATCAAGTTTCATAAACGATAATTAATCACACAAAACTATACTATGCAGAGGTAATGTAGAAAACTGACCTAAAGAACTTCCATTAATCAAAATTATGAATGAACAAAATCAAAAGAATAATCGCATCAGTCTTCTTCTCTGTCAAAATTTCAAAACTTAAATTAACTATATGTTCAATGAATTAAAAGCAGAGGCTAATCTCTCTCTCTCTCTCTCTCTCTCTCTCTCTCTCTCTCTCTCTCTCTCTCTCTCTCTCTCTCTCTCTCTCTCTACACATACACACACATATATATACATAATTCAAATAAGGATTCTTTATTAAATTCATATAGGAAACTGAATACGTTTCCTTTAGTGTACAAAATATCAGTTTTCTATTGCAATCACACGCCAATAAGGATTAGCACTCCTCTTATGATAAAACATTCTTATTCAAATCGGACTCCAAGCAATTGGCCACTAAAACTCTCATTCTCATACTCGTTAGAGGAACAACCTCACCGCATAGCAGCCAATTTAGATGTAGCTTGATAGACTAAATGATATTTGACCTTCCATGCGTGTTTAATTACAATAACATCTTTGAAAGGAACCAAATGCATTGCATGTGAATATTATTTAATGAGTAATGCTACGCGTACCACATATTTTTACCATTTCTTTAATAGAAGTTGGGTCCACCAACATATGTGGGTTCCATATTTATTAGAAAGATAATACAAATGATGTTACGAGTAACATTTTTGTTATTTAGTACAAAAAATAGATGAAATTCGAGAGAGTTGAACGCAGGTGTCAAAACTTGTCATATAACATGAATCTCACATAATTAATTAGGAAAAATTGTAGTCTATGTTCACAGACATAGAAGTTTATGGTGATATTATGCAATTTTCAGTACTAATTAGTGTTTTCCTTGCTAATTAGCGTGTTAAAGTTTTCGCCTATCTTTCTCTCTTCCTCTTTTTTTCCCATAAAATGACTAAGAGTTTACAAAGAGAACCTTTACGACATTCCTGATTCAATTGATCGAAGTGCAGAGCTGAATAAGCAGCATATTGAAGGAGTACAACTATAATCTAAAAAAAAAATTCCATTTTCTTAATTCGAATAATAAACTTTAGATTATAGTTGTTCTCCTCTAGTATGGGACATTGCACATCATTCATTTGACTTGTATGGAGCCAAAATTTGGCCAACATAAAGTACCACTCGAGGGAGGTGGTGATAGTATTCCTCTCTTGTTGGCCCAAGTAAGAATTCTAACTCCCACAATAAGGTCCAGCAATGTTGAATGATCCTGAAGGTCATATTCGCATAATCATTTTTGGGCCAGGATTATGGGCAGTTCATCATCAAGTCCTCACATAATGTTGTAGGCTTTGTAGCTAACACTCATATGCTGGCCAATGTTTATTTATATATATTTTTTCTTTCAAAGAAAATAAATATTATGGACTATCGAGGATAAATTGAAACTCTAAAATCTTTTTACAGTTAGAACTTTGGTGTGTATAAATGTTGGCAAGATTTTTCAGTTTTTGAAAACCAAATTTCTCAGTTCTTTTCGGAAAAATTATAAAAGGATACTTAAATTTCTACAAATTTAGAATTTTAGGCATACCTCAATGATGGATGCCATACATGGTTAGTGATTGACGACAACGTGTCTTCTTCAATGCTTCGTTAAACGTTGGATTTTAGTCTTTGATCTTAGAATTTGTGGATTTCTAGTTTTATAGAGAGCAGCTAGTCTGGTGTGTGGATATGTGAGTGTAGAGGAAAACCTACATACTTTTAAGGGTGGATGACATTTGGTATCATAAAGTGTAATATTGAAAAGTATTGGATAAACTTATACTATAAGGGGGTGTTTGTTTGCCCTCACTAAACTTCACTAGACTGGATTGGTTTAACTAGGATTTCTAATCCGTGTTTGGTTGGAACAAGGATTAAGTTTAATGGGACTAAGTTAGACTCGTGCCGACTAAGTCCTTCACTACCAGTTCTTAGCTAGGCCGCCTGAAACATAGGGGATTGCTAATCCCGTCTCTAAAGTTGCGTACAAAGTCTGCACACTGCATCATCTTCACGCTACAAGTCGTCTGCTTCTCTGCAACTCTGGCCACCTATACCCAGATCTGAAACCCACCACACCCACCGCCTAATTTTCAACATCTAACAACCAAAATTTGAAAAGAAAAAAAATATCAATTCGATAACAACAACAAACTCAATAGAAAAATTCTTCATTTTTCGCAGAAAATTAAGAGATTTTTTGAGAAATCAGAGGAGGGGCGAGAAACAAAGTGGTTGTGAAATCCATGGTGCTGCAGAGAGGAGCCTCTGCCCGATTTCAATTTTCCGTGGGATTTGAAGTTGGGAAATCAGAATCTGTGGTGCCATAAATAATTTAGAGGAATCACAACAGCAAAGAAAAGGAAAGGAAAAAAAAAAGAGAACAAAAGGAGGGTGATGAATGACGCTGTTTTGAGGGAGGAGAGAGTGGAAAGGAAAAGAAAAAGAAGAAGAGAGGGAAAGGGTCGGAGCAAAATTAGGAAGAAAAAGGAAGATCAAAGGAAAAAAAATTAGGAATGGAGATGGGAGGTTTCGAGAATGAAAAAAGAAATAGACAGTGGTAGTAATAAAAGATTACTAAATATGTATGAAATAATATAAAATACTAATAAAATATGAATGAAAAAAATATAATTTTAGAATTTGTTGTTATCCTGTTTTTTAGTCTGACACTGCACCAAACGTTTCACTAAGCTAGTCCAGCTTAGTCTAGTCTAAGTCAGTCCAATTTAGTTCTTGAAGCTAATCTAGTCTGAGATAATCTGGTGCAACAAACGCACCTTAAGCTTGTAAAACGTAATTGAGTTATGATACTAAATTTGGCGAACTTAATTAAAAGTTAAGCATTAGTTATATTATTACATTTCTAATCTCAAGTTGGACATGAAATTCATATGACTATATAATTTGGCATTGGACTATTATTAGGTAATATATATATATATATATATATATATATATATATATATATTAACAATGGCGTATATAAAAATACTGTTTCTTCCAAGAATACAACTCTAGCATGTTTTGGAGCTCAAATAAATTATATATTGACAAAACGAAGAAAAAATTAATTATATCTTGCGCCTATCTCTTTCCGAAACCTATCGTGCAAACAACAATATTCCGCCTTTTTTTTCCATTCTCTCCTTCTCAATCTCCCTTTAAATATTTCTAGATTTTAACCTAGTTTTAGGGCTAGTTTGGTTGTACTTTTGAAGGAGCCAAAAACGCTTATGAGTAAAAACACTTCAGTTTTTTTTTTTAAATGGTCGTTTGACAAATATTTTAAAAGTGCTTTTAGTTAGAAGTATAAGCACTAACAAACATTTCTAAGAAGCACCTCCTTCTAAAATTGTTGTACAGAAAAAACAAGGAAAGCACTTTGCTCATTTAATGATTTTTTTTCAATTCCAAAATTATCCTTATTTTTTAATTTGCAAAGTCTAAAATGCCATTACACATTAAAAAATCATCACAACTGCCATCACCAATTTTTTCTAGTGCTTCTATACAATATAAAAGCACTTAGTTGGTTATGTGCCAAACAACAAATTACTTTCTCTTTCTCATAAAAATGCTACTGAAAAGTGCTACAAAAAAAAAAAGCTAATGAGTAAAAGCATTTTATAAAGTATCATATCCAAACGAGCTAAAAAAACTAAAAAGGAAGTAATCCGATTGAAGTTGTTGAGTCAACTATGACACATGGACACATGAAAGGTTAAGTGAACTGGCAATCTTGTACTTTGATAAGGATATATATTGTAAGGGCTTGATTTTGAAAAATGTGTGCATCATGATTTTGACTCTAAAAATGCTAGAAGAATAAATTTTCAATGAATGTATTCTTATATATTTATTTTAGTCAAACTATTATGTTTAAAGCCCAAAAAAAAAGAAAATAAAGAAAAAATTTGAACATTTTATTATCCTTGTGAAATAATGTGTTGGAAGGGGCCTGTTTTAGTTTCTCGCTCTAGACCACCAAAAATTTAGTAACGGCCATGTTTATAGTGGGCAAATACCAAAATGTTGATAATATCATACTGATGATCGTTATTATTGTTTGCTTTAGGTGTGCATATTTAAGTCCAACACTAAACGAAGCATTTATGGTGATTTTTTCAATTTTATTGTCCTTGTTCACGATAGAAAGAATGTAAGAAAATCAAGCGTGGGAGGCAGAGTTCGAACCTCTTGCCTTCTTTTCATGTTAAGCGACTCTTGTTCTTTCATAACCCAGTTAATCGGTGAAACAGATTTCACGCATGCAACCTTGGATGAGGATCATGGGGGTCACTCAAGCAAGCTGACCCATATTATACCTACCTACACCAAAAGTTGCAAACACAAATTCATATGGCTAACATACGTGTTAATAATTGTTTGTAATCTAATATTCTAGTGGATTGGTTTTTGGGTTTCTATCCATGCGTCCACGGTTCAGAACTCCATCATCCTCTAAATTATTATAACAGTTTTAAACTCTCCCCACTTTTCTCCTAATAATAGTATATAAAAATAAAAAAATAAAAAATTTACATGCATAAAGACAATACTTTGATTAATTAGTGTTGATAAGAAAACTCAATAGGATATTTATGTGCTATTTTATGGTGTGCTCTTAATCCTACCAAGAATAAAGACAATACTTTGATTCATTAATTCAATACATGCAATTGGGTGGCAGACATGGGAGATGGCAAGAAGAAGGAAAGAAGCCAACGTGCTTGTTTTAATATTAATTCATTGCAAATAATAGGTGGAGTTCTATGCACAAGTTCAAGCCAAATTAAAGCGCAATCTCATGCTCATACTCTAACATGGACAACCTCATAATAAACATCAGCAGGGGCGCAGACTGAATGCTAGTGGACCTTCCGAAAGCAGGTGTCAAACTGTCACATAACGTAAATTTGACATCATTAATTAGGAAAAGTTTTAGTCTATATTCACAAATATAGAAAATTGTAGTGATATTATGCTATTTCCCTTACTAGTTGGCATGTTAAATTTTCCGTCCCTCTCTTCTTCTTCTTTTTTTTTGGGCTAAAAAAAAAGAGCTAAAAATTTACAAGGAGAAGCCACTGGGATGTCCCTGATTCGATTGATTGATGTGCTTACGATGATCAAGGTTGGCTAAGGCGTGAGCGGAGAAATTTGCTTCTTGGAAGTTATGGAAAAATCTAATATTGAAGAAGTTAACGCATATGTGCTCAGTATATCAATTTGCTATCCGTTCTACACCAAAAATTTTTCTCTTCATTTGTTTTGACGTTTGATAAAAAAAAAAAATATCTTCACAATTAAAAAGATAAAAACAATATCTTCAAAGTTATATGAATCTGTTTGATTTAATCAGAAAACATACCAGCATCTCCCGGGACTTTTTTCATTAGAGTAAATTGTAGCAATGGTCCCTCAACTTTAATCAAATTGGAGCAATGGTTCCTCAACTAAAAATCTATTACCATTGGTCCCTCAACTTATCAAAATGTATAGCTATAGTCATTTTCATCAATTTCGTCAAAATTTTGTCAAAATAAGTTATGTTGGAATAACCATTTATATAATTAGGGTCCCTCAACTCATCAAAGTGTGTAATTATGATCCTTTTCGTCAACTACGTCAAATTTTTTGTTAAAACGAGTTATGTTGGAAGGACCATTGCTACGATTGGGTTAAAGTTAAGGGACCGTTTCTCCAGTTGAATTAAAGTTGAGGGACCAATGGTAATGAATTTTTAGTTGAGGGACCATAGCTACAATGTACTCTTTTTCATTAAACATATTTATCTTTTGCCATATTAATTCTCTGACAAAAAAAGAAGTATTTAATTAATTCAAAAAAGTGTGCTTCATGATTTTGACTCGAAAAATGCTAGAAGAAGAAATTGTCAATGAATGTAATCTTATATATATTTTGGTTAAACAAATATGTTTTAAGCACATAAAAGAAAAATATAACAAAAGATTGTAACTTCTATTTGCGAGTAATGATACATTTATCATATATTTGTATCATTATTTGTACTATTTTTCTAATAGACGTACGGTCTACCAACACATATAAGTTCCATCTCTATTATAAAGATGATACAACTGATCGAAAAAATACGTAATAAGAGTCATATTTTTATTTTTCTTATGAAAATTGTACATTCTATTTTTCTTGTGAAAAATTGTACATTTTAGTCTCTTTGTTGTTTGGTTAATTTGGCTGACGACGTTTTTATTAAGGGAACTTTAACGAAAAGCTCCTGGTACTATTTACTTTAACGAAAAACCATATTTTTACACTAAAAAGTCAATCATGATACTATTCACTTTACCCTTTATTTTGTCCTTATCATTAAAACTCAAAGTTTTCAAATCATTTTCATTAATTTTTCTTTTTATTAAACCACCTTACAAATTAAACCATATAATGTCCATACCGAAGATTCACACATCACATGGATCAAAATACAAAACGTCACATGTTACCGACATATTTCGTATTATCATAATTTGTATAATCTCCAAAATGCCTTCCAAGGGGCACAAGCTGACACGTCGTCCCCAGCCACCACCGCCGCTATAGACGTTTTCAACCCTTTGACTTGAAGTTGTCAAATTCTAGAATGATATCATTATTTTGCAATCTAGAGAGGGATTGAGAGAGAGATAGAGAGTGAGAGGATCTCGAATGCCAATGCCAATTAAATATAATATATTACTTGCTTGCTTCAATTGGATACTCTGATGTGACTCTTACAAACGTCACGTCGTCGGGCCCTTCTTCATGGGACCGGCTTCTTTGCCCTTCCACTTCCCATACATTTTCATTCTTTCTTATTTTGTTCGATCACGGTTAAATCACGTTAATATTTTATATTAATTTTTTTATAGAAATAATAAGATAAAAAATAATAGTAATATAAAATGTTAACGTAGCTTAACCGTCACCGGACAAAATAGGAGGAGATGAGAGTGTATGGGGAGGTGGGAGGGCAGAGAAGTAGGTCCCTTCCTCATTGCAGTAATGTCCCCCAATTCATCGCAGGGCGCAAAACCACCAAAATCTGCCAGGATTGTTTGATCGTCGGAGGATTGTCTGATCTGTAGGCTCCGAAGGTACAGAATCCGGAGAGTATCTTATTCCGTGAGCATGAGCCTCTTAGTCCTGCCAGTGGTGTTATGCTTACTCTGCACAGTACCTAGGCCAGTTTCTGCCGATCTGGGAACTGCAACTTCATACGGCCCTCCTTATATACGTGAGCAAACAATATATATCTCAACGCAATAAAGATAAATAGATCCAGTATGTTTGGGTTTTCTTATGCCATTATATTGTAATTGTTGTGCAGCTACAAGATGCTTTGGGAGGAGGCCTGACCAGTTCCCTCCGCAGTACTTTTTTGTGGCCGTGAGTGAAGGATTGTGGGACGGTGGTTCTGCGTGCGGAAGGGTCTATAAAATTAAATGCCTCAGTGGACTTAATATGCCCTGCAAGGTTGGTGAGACTGTCGAGGTGATGGTGGTGGACTTTTGCCGGAAATCTCCTTGCCCTTCCACCATAGCCATGTCAACCTATGCTTTTGCAGCCATCTCTCACAATTCTTCTGCACCAATCAACATCGAATATCTCCAGTAAACATCTATCTAAATTTTGCACTCTCTTGTACTTCTATTCTTACAGTTCATTATATACTAATATACATGATATACAGGATATGAGACTGTACAGCATCATCGAAGACATGTTCACATACACCAAAGGTGGAAGCGTTGAAATGATTACGAAGAGCAATACACAGTGCAGTGCAGTCACATTTTCTCTTTGAAATGTTTTGTATTCTGAATTGTAAAAGTTCCTGCAGACGGGATTGAACCCTGTTGAATGACACAGTTCGAGGCACAACCTTCATAAGCCTCCTCTGCTCCATTGTACTTGTCAATAAAGTCCTTTCTTGGCAAAATTAATGAGATGTTTTGTCTGTGTTTATGAAGTCTTCATGTTCGATGTGTTTTGTTGCTGCACCACCATTCTGCTCTACTTTTTTCAAGGAACCATATCCCAAAGCCAACGCTTCTAAATCCTAAAACTTAGCTCTCATACTTTCAACCATATTATAAAATAGTGAACTGTAATTTCAAAGGAACTCCATTACACCTTCCAACTTCACAGTCTGACATTACAGCAGAATTATGAGATGACCATGCTGTTTCTCCCCCTGATATTGGCATACTATGCTGAGGCTGCTCAACCATTGGTGGTGCTGTCACAGACGTGGAAAGAGGTTCTCCCTGTTCTGATTCTGATTTTTTCAGTGAATGCTGAAGTACATTGGGCTCGATACCTGTCTCCGGCGTTACCTGCTGCACAGGCTGGATAATAGATCCATGAGAAGATTCAGGGTCATGTGTAGAAGTTGTACATTCAGAGCTCGGTCTAGTGAATAGATTGGAACCGGTCTGAACTTTTTAGCAAAGTGATTACTTCCTGGCCTATCATGAGATACCTCTGGTAACGATAAAAATGAGTTTGAGAATTGTGCCCCCCTTGAATCAGGAAAATTGTATTGATGATTAGCATCATTAACCATGGCTGGTAAACGCAATGAATATGGGGCAGGATCCACCACATTGCCCATTACAGGTCCAGAAACATGTTGGAACTTCTCGCCTTCTTCAGACATGAGAGGCAAAAAATGGGTTCTGGGGTGGCAGCACCTTGCTCTGTGGTGTTGGCATATCAAATTGAGCTTTCTCAACAGATTCCGATGGCTAACCAACTCCAACCAATTCTCTCTGAAAAAAGGGAAGCATGTTGTATTCCCATCCTCCATTGCATTGGTGGTAAAAGTGGCCATGGTGGCATGTCTTCCAGATTGACCACAGTAGCTTCAATGGGCAGGACTGATATAGAAAGGGTAGAATCTAATGGTTCCAATGTTTGCTATATAACATCAAGTTCCTGGCCTAATGGTTCTGGTAAGAACTTTGATGTTAAAGCATGGCTTGGAAGATATTCAGGATGACATTCCGGGGAAGCATCCAAGCATACTTCCTGATTGATTTGCTCAATAAATTGTAACTGGTTGGATTTCTCCGAATCCATGTGGCTTTGAGACCCTGCCTGTACAGATTGAAGACTTGATAAAATGATACTTGCTTGATCTTCTTCCGAACTTTCCACATCAAGCTCATCAGATTGAACCACCAGAGAACGCTTTAAGTCAGCTTCTGGCTGATGCCTGATCCCTTGCTCCATCTCTTGGCAACTATTTGATACCAACTTGATTTGCTTGCAACTCCAATGAATTCTCCAAACTAGTTTCAGGCTCTGGCAGGTAGCAGGTAGGTGAAGACACAACTTCCGTATTTTCTAAAGATGCTGAGGCAGGAACAGAAGCACACACGAATGGAAGCAGGAACAGAAGCAGAAGCAGGAAATTCCATTCACCCCAGGTGAATATGTTCGTCTAAGCTTTCAAAAATCAGTCCATCACATCTGCTAAATCCTTTTCAGCTTTGCACATAACTTATCTTTGTTGTTTTTACTCATTCTGCTCGAGTTTAAACTCCACAATAACAACTTTTTAACGATGATTAAGAAAATACTACTAACTCTTCAAAATGACTAATTCTTCAGATGTGCTCACATCAGATGTGATCACAAAATGACTAATTCTTCAGTGTGAAAAAGCTCTGTGCAGAACTAAATACTAAGTCCACTGCAGAATACAAAATGTTATTATTAGCAACGCACCGGTTCGAGTTCTACCAGTAATTTTCGAAGCTTGGCCACTCTAACCTGCAACAAAACCAACTAATAAGCAAAAAAGAACCCGTATTCCACAATAAGCAAAAAAGTGAGAAAAGGAGTGGATTCAGACCAACTAAATGAAAAACCATGGATAACTTATGCCCTAGGAAGGTAAAACTTAAGCATCAGACCAATTAAATGAAAAGACCACTGATGATTGTGTTATTGTTGTGCTAATGAATCTGTTGACCACTCGCATCTGGTGTTTGGTTGATACTTGATAGTTGAACAAAGAGTCTTCAGCTCGAGTAATTGCTTTTTTAGAATTTATATGCTTTGTTGAGGATATCTGCATGTTAGATTAATATCGTGTTACGGTATATTAGCACAGAGACTGAGGTCCTTTATTTGGCAAAGCATCGCGCTACTATTTGTGGAAAATTACATAACTCCGAACTCATATGAAATGATTGTTTGCATCTCCTATTTTGACTAAGTTCTCTGCGGTTGTAGGTTCCTCTCGATACGTAGCATATTAAATTTGAATTGGGGAACTGTATGAATTATTTGCGGGGTATAAAGATAGCCACCATAACTTACCCACGTTTGTGCATCTTACACACATTGCAATTCTACATCTGCATTGCTTAGTGAACTTTCACAAAATTTGAGGGAATAAGAGCCAAGCTAGATGTGCAGAATGCAGAGAAATAGAAAAGTAGTGATGTTACCTATTTTGTCCATTATTATTTTAACCGTTGAGAAAAGCAGTCCATCAGCATGAGCATACCAACGCCAGGAAATAGGGTTAAATTTCCATGTATGAAAATGAAAAGCTTAAATCAGGTTGTTGAATTGATTTACATATCCTGATTTGAGCCTTTGTTGTTGAATTGGCTTCTTCTGTGCTTGATATAAATGTCTTCTGTGCTTAAATCAGGTTGTTGAATTGATTTATATAACCTGCTTTCTCCTATTTTTGTGGATTGCAGGAAACGTGTTGAATTTTAGTTGGGGCAATCGATTTTTATAAGTGGGTTTGTGAAATTATTACTCTATAGGCGAGTAATTTTAGAACACACTAGAAAATATGCATGCGCGTTGCTGCGGGACTTGAATGCATCACCTTAACTGCATGAATAAGACATTTTACCTGAATAAATTCAACACAATCATGACTAAACATAGGGATAGATGAGTGAACGGAGTCGATAAGATATGCAGCTTCGTTTTTATATACATTCAACTTAGCTGACATGAACAGACATTGTACAATTAACAGGACAAAACTGAAACGTTTTGTTTCCCTAATAAACAGAAGCAACATGCAGTTCACACAAATCTTGCCCCTGCAGTCAAGGTGGCAAAATATATATCCTGTAGGTTAGGCACATGTTTCAGCAGTTGACAAAAAAACATAAAAACTGTTTCGTTCTTATTCTAGCATCCAAGTTTTCAAGCACAAACAAAACACATGCAGGATGCCTGTTTCCATAAGAAACAGAAGTCTGAGAAGTGTATTTTAGTTTAGAGAAGATGCATATATTTTCTAACAGCGAAAACATGAGCAAATATGATTGGGCAGAAACATGAGAGTAAAAAATCCAAACCTCAAGAATATGATTGTATTACAACAAATATGATTGGGTTGTACTCGAGGATCAAATGGGGACTTGAGATTTTGGTAATTGTGTAGAAGAAAAAGAACACCAATGGAACATTCCTAGAAACTAACCCTCAAACCCCATCCAAATCAGATCAACTAATCAACCAAATTAGCCCAATCAATAACCCTAAATTTACTCAATCAAATTTGCCCAATCAACAATCCATAAGGGTAAGATTATTTTTAACTATACACAAATTCGCATGCTAGTCATTTCATACATTTAACTAATTCAGCAACTTGAAAATGATTAAGAATAATTTAGAATGATACCAACCCGATTTTAGCTCATCTGGCTCCTCTTTCATCCGCAGCTTTGTATTTGAAAAGCTGAGTAGCCAAGTTTGGAGAAGTCGTTAAATAATCACTATCTGAGGATTGAGAATAACCTACATTCACATTGCACAAAGTTCTATGGAAAAGGGGACAAATTAATATATTTAAAATAAGTATTAAGATGCAAATATTCTCAAGATAAATTAAGCAGAAAAATGAATACATTTTACCAATTGTCAGACACTACTAATTTCATCCGTTGATCATGGAAACTATAAAAATCCATCCAATCAAGAGACAATGTAAAAGTTGTTAGAAGGTGAATATGCAATGAGGAATCTAGATATACCTGACAAATTTGCGATTCCATTATAATTTCACACAAAAAAAAATCAAATTTTGATTCAAACAAAAAAATCTCATCTGTTGCAGACCGAACCAACCAAAAAAAGATTCTATTAACACGATTTTCAACCCAACTATAAAAAGGAGCTTTATAATAGCACAATCAATATCATTTCAACCCAACCAAAAAGAAACTAATTGTATGTCATCAATTTGTAAACACAGAGAAGATGCATCATATTTCATGACTAATCAAAAGCTTACAAATGTCAGGTAAGAACATACGTAAGTTCAAATGCAAGAATGCAAATGAAGATAATTCACTCCATTGTGTTCAGCAAGGGAATAAAAAGTTACGAAAATAGTATGATAGTGATTCGTACCCTTAACTTGATCTGATGGCAGGGCATTGAATGTTGACTGAACAAAATTTTGCAAGTAATGAGGTTGCATAAAAACTTTCACCTGAAAAGTTAAACCCACCATTATATGAAGGTAAATAAGGAAAATTCAATCCAATAATCACAACAATATGAGAAGTGTATTTTAGTTTAGAGAAGATGCATGTATTTTCTAACACGAAAACATGAGCAAATATGATTGGGTAGAAACATGAGAGTAAAAAATCCAAACCTCAAGAATATGATTGTATTACAGCAAATATGATTGGGTTGTACTCGAGGATCAAATGGGGACTTGAGATTTTGGTAACCGTGTAGAAGAAAAAGAACACCAATGGAACATTCCTAGAAACTAACCCTCAAACCCATCCAAATCAGATCAACCAATCAACCAAATTAGCTCAATCAATAACCCTAAATTTACTCAACCAAATTTTCCCAATCAATAATCCTTAAGGATAAGAGTATTTTTAACCATGCACAAATTCACATGCTAGTCATTTGATACATTTAACTAATTTTGCAAGTTGTATTTCTGTAAATGGGAATGAAAATGTAACTTTTGGTCTTATACTTTCAAAACCAGTACACATCTCAAATGTGGGAGTCTCAAAAGTTGTTTCATTGATTTCATTCCAAAGAAATTTTTTGTTCGGACAGATATTCGAACAAAATACTCTCTGAATGACACTCACTTAAAACACCTTAGAAGAACTCACGTTTCTCATCTGAAAAAGAGTTCAGGGATATGAAAAAACTACTTAAGACCAAAAGCATAAACCACACTCAATACAATCAATAACTAAACTAACAATATATTCAACAATTTATCAAAAACACCATCAACTTAAACACCTTTAAACCATAAAAACCAATGGAACAGACCATATAATTAATGAGTGGTGAGTGCAGACTTTTTGGCATTTAGGGCACCAATTATCCTAACAGAGAGCGCGTTTGGTCCTCCTCCTTTGCCATTTTCCTCCTCATCCCCTGAATCCTCATCACCCTGCACGTTCCAATGCCGTCTCGAGAAGCGCCTTAGCAAACACTAGGGAGAAAAATCTAATTAATATTTTTTTAAACAAATATTAGTGCACTACAAAAATACATCATCTATAACAAGCAAACACGCGAATGCCTGAAAACAGTATAAGTCTAATATATCCTTGCATTTCTTTTTGATTTCAGAGTACGTGGAAATCACATCAACAAATCAAAGCCCTAAATTTTTATCATCCTGAACTGGAAAAATCTGTAAAATCTAAAAAATTTCGCCGCATCAAAATAATTAAAAATTAAACCCCCCCCCCCAATTCTCTTATATAGCTGATAATCAAAACCAAATTAGTATATTACTCAGCTAAAAGCCTTTTTTCAACGAAAACGCGGAAGGCAAGCCTGAGTCCTAATAATCCAAAATCATGTCAAATGGAGGAAAATGATATATCAGAATCGAATACTCATATACTAATAGAAAAATTTTCCTTAATTTATCTAATTATAGAAATAAAAAAATTAGATCAAGAAAACCAAGAGCCAAATACAATTTGATGCAAAGAAAGCAAAGTTAGAATACCAAAAGCCAGATTATGCTATTAAATCAGAGAAAACTGAGATGCAATGGAATATGTATAAATCTAATCCAAGAAAGCAAACCAAAATCCTTACTGTCTGAGAGAAATTGGGATAGAACATTGTAGAGATAAAGCAAGAGGAGAGATACACCTGGCTCTGGTTGGAATTGCAGGCGATAAATGTTTGGAGAGAAGCTTTACCTTTCACTCGCCTTTGATTCCTGTAGCCACAGCAGACACATCGCTAGTGACAGTTTCGAAAGGGAATTCCGAATTCAAAATTCAACAACCTAAACCATAATTAACTCACAATTTAGTTCCATCAATATGATAGACATACCAAACTGTCAACAAACTAACAAAAGTAAACATAAACGTAATTAAAGTGTAAGTGAACTAATATTTTGTACAATAAATATATAAGGGATATGCGTTGCAGATATACATGATGCATAAAGTCTCCCATGTTTCCGAAACGAAAACGCTGCAAATCCAAGATATATGGCCAATTAATTGTTCAATGGGTAATGGATTGCTGGATATTCTTAGCTGCCTTTGTAGTTCTTGTTTGTCATATTCGAACACAACTCAGGAAAAATAAATATAAACACAAAAGAGAGAAGAAGATATAAGACAATTACCTATTTAGTGAGTTCTTGGACCTATTTAGAGTCACTGGAATGAAATGAAGCCAACTCTGCAACAGAGAAACAAACTAAAAGTCAAAATCCCGAAATCCAAGTTTAACTCAATCAAATATAATAACCAATGAAGTGAAACTTTGCTTCTTAGTATGGATATGCATGCTATAAGAAACCCAGTTCAAAATGGCATCAGCCGTCTCTGATTGTGACAACTCATTCAACTTAATTTGGTTATCATTTATAGCCTAAATCAAACTACAACTTTATCCCGCGAAATCGAGGAAAACTACCTGTGTTCGATTTCATGTCAGCACCTCAACTTATATCGCATCCAATTAAACTACTACAACAACATACTGACAAAGTGAACATGGAAATTCATATACCATTTGACAATACGAAATCAAGCAATTTCTAAAGACCAAAAATAGATCCTACAAAGCAGAAACCCTATCTCATATGCATTAAAGCGATTAACAAATTCTCGGTGAATCATCATAAAATTAACCCATTTTCTTAACTCCAAAAACATGAAAGATTAAGAAAGGGTTCTGAGTTCTCATCATAACCAAAATAATCATATTGTTTCAATTTGAACTCGGGTCGACTTCCGTCATCTGCATTAACAAAAAACAATAACTTATGTCAGTGCATTTCACCATAAATCAATTCCTAAAATCAACTGCATATCACAAAGTTACCCAAAAGACACAAAATACCTGAAAATTACTATATTAGCACTCCATCCACCCCAAAATCAGAAAATTAGAAAACAGAACTTGACAACATTGTACATAAAAAGCAAGGAATCAATAATTTAGGTGGTTTCCCAGGACAATAATGAGCTTGCAGAGATCATATTCATGCATGGATGCACAAACACAAAGACATCACATAGACCATTTGATGACAAAAAAAATAGAGATGCTTAGAGACTCAACACACACTATTCATAGATCCATGACTTAGAATTCTCAGATCCGGTTGAAATTAATAAAATAAAATAAAAATTTAGGGATGTGAAAATATACCTCTGATAGTCTGAGCTCTGTTCCCATGATTCCTTCGCCGGCTTAAGGCAAACCTGAGGAGATCGGCGATTAAAGGATAAGAAAACTGGCAGCCGTGCTTTAGTTTTTTGATAGAGAGAGTTCAAGAGAAAAAGAAGAAGGGGATACCCCTTCCCTTCTGAGATCGTCGATAACATCTGAATTACTTAACATCCATACACTATATTTACACACCTACACTAATCAACACTCATAAAATATCAATGGTCCAACAATTATGGAGCTCAAAATTTCTATAAGGGCCAATCAAATCATAAATTAGAATGAAAACATGTAAGTAATTAAGAAGTATTGCTTACTTAGTTGGCTCCTTCTTGTCACTTCAAGGATTATTCAATTCAACCTGATTCGATCAAACTGCATCACCCAACAAAACAAAGAAAAAATAAATTAAAAAGGAAAATAAGGGGAGCTAAATAAATATACACTGACCTACTTTTTGGCTACAAAACCCAAAAAGAGCTATTAAACAGCAGTGCATAATGATGGAATTTCTATGAAAAAATATGAATGAGTTTTCAATTAATAATTGAGGCCGAAATAAAGAAGGCCTTTCTCACCTTGATGCAGGGAGGACAACAAAAACATTATGTATGGATTAACGTATAATATCTGAGATCCTATCTGTTTTTTATTGACTGATGTTTCAACATCAATCACCTAATTCATATCACACATCCATACATACCTGAGAACGCTTATTCCCACCACCATAACGTTGTTGCTTTAGTATGTTTTTTCACTGAGAAGAAAAGGAAAGAGCATCATGAAAAATTTAATTCCAATATACCTGAGAACAATTCACATGTTATTACCTTAAACTGGAGTTAAAATTACTCACCCATTTTTTGTCATCACACCAAGACAAAAATAAAAGAAGACTTCTAATCCCATAAATTAGCAAATACTCAACTATCCTAAATTCCTAATCACACTTGACTTTGCTGCCCCCACACTTTTGTCCCCTGTTTCCCATTAACTAAAAACACTCCCAAATCACATCAGCCAGCCATACAACAAAGCCACTGGCTACATCAAATATTAGGCATGATTTAGGTAACCAAATTCAATTAATAGAGTTCGGATAACGAAATGCAAAGAACACGATACATATTGTAAAATTCAAGAACATAATTAAGAGGATTTGAACTATATTGTGTTGAAAACTTACCGAAGAGTGACGATTCCAGGGCGGTAGCGGTCAGGCTTCTTGACTCCTCCAGTTGTGGGTGCTGATTTGATTGAAGCCTCAAAATTAAAACAATTAGCAACTTAGATCCAATAATCTGATTGTTTCTCGGAAAAAATAGCTTGCAATTATTGACCCAACACAGATTTTGCAGCATTAATTAAGAGAGAATTATACTTTTATTTACTTGTGACTAAATCTTTATTGTTTTGTGGTAATTTGTATAGTAGACAGCCAAACAATATGTATATATATATAATTACTCAAACAGATTAAGACTCCTAATCAAATCAAATCGTTTCTGGTGCAGCTGCTGAACAATGGAGAGCCAAAGCGACTCCTGCTTTTGAGTGACAGAAAACTCTGCAGTGACTCGAACAGAGAAATTGAACTAATAATAACAAAGAGTTGGGATCACAATACTCACCAAGACCAGCTCAAAGAGAACATTCTGATCAGCTTTGATCTCGTTGATGAAGTCCGACAAACTTCTTGATAGTCTAATCGCTGCTCTTGCCGACGTTGGTGCCATCCCCGTCTCGACGCTCGACATGCTTCTTGTCACAGTGAGAAAAGGGAGGGATGAGGGGATTTGATGGATGGTTACAGAGAGAGGGGAGAGAAAGAGGAAAAGAAAAGGGGAATAAAATTTACTAAACACAGAACTAAAATTAATAAAAATAAATTACTGAAATTAAAACCCAAATTCCAGAAATGAAGAAAAATGGAACCCCAATATGGAAATTAATCACCTTGGGGAACATCTTCGTGTGATGGAGGGACTTGTGGATGTCCATGGCGTAGTCCACCGTGTTGGTCAGTTAAGGAGCTCGATCTTGGACTTGAGGATCTGCTCATCTGTATACATCTGACGCTCCTGCAGGAACGGGAGGAGGAAAAAATGAAGAAATTTGCATTTAGGGATATGGGTTTGTCGTTGAATACCGGAAAGATATGAAGAAATTAGGGTTTGCAGAGAGTAGCAGAAACTGAGAATGGCCTTCTGTCTGCCCTACAGCTACAACCCCCTCACCATCGATCGCAATCAGTCCCGACAATTAAGATGACAAAAGTACCCTCCAAACTTTTAATCCGGGCCATCCGATCTTAACCCTTGATAGGCATTTTCCATCATTTGAACACCCAAGGGGCCGGCCTCATCAACAATTGAGGCAAGGCCAGCAAACACAGCCCAAAACAAACTAAGGACATCTCCAACCGATGGCTGGTCAGATGGCTAAATTATTTGAACACCCAAGGGGCCGGCCTCATCAACAATTGAGGCAAGGCCAGCAAACACAGCCCAAAACGAACTAAGGCCATCTCCAACCGATGGCTAGCCAGATGGCTCGTTTTAGCCCTCTGGCCCTCCAAGATTCTCCAAGATATTAATATTTTAATGAACAATACAGGGTCATATTTGCCTTTGTCTCCAACCGAGGGTCAGAGTGCCAGAGGGTTCGTTTTAGCCCTATCACAAAAAACCGTCTCCAACCGAGAGTCAAAGGGCCATAAGGTCAAACATAATTTATTATTTAAAAAATACAACTTAAACTTAAATCCAACGTTTTATGTTTTTAAATGTTTTTCAAAAATAAATTTTGTGAAATAGAAGTTATAGAAAAAAATGGAATTTAAAAAAAATATGAAATAAATTTTGTGAAATAGAAGTTATAGGAAAAAAATGGAATATGAAACAAATTTTGTGAAATAAAAGTTATAGGAAAAAAATGGAATTTAAAAAAAAATATGAACCAATTTTTGTAAAATATAAGTTATAGAAAAAAAGTTATAGGAAGTTATAGAAAAAAAAAGGTTTAAATTCATAAAAAAAAAATTGAATACAACGGCTAGTGACTGGCTAGCCGTTGGAATTCAAATTATAATTCAAATTAGTGTCGGTTTTAACCGACACTGTTTAAACTGATATTACACTAACATTGTTATTAGTGTCGGTTATAACCGACACTAATAATATAGTATATATTATTTATGTCGGCTATAACCGATAGAAATAACAAAACATTAAAAAAAAATAGCCAGCCCTCCAGCCCTCCAGCCATCTCCGATCCTGTGGGGCCCTCCCAGATTCCAGAGCCCTCTGGCCTAGCCCTCGGTTGAAGACGGTTTTCGAGCTATTTTCGGCCCTCTGGCCCTCTGGACCCTTGGGTTGGAGATGGCCTAACCCAGCCACCTTCACCATAGTGGCAAGCTTGTAAATAAACTGAAATGTGGTTCAAAATACTGTTCATTTAAATATAAAGTTCAAATATTAACCCAAACAATCTTTTTTCAGCAGATTCTTTTGTAGGCAATAAAGGATTATATGGACCACCGTTATCTCCAGGTAACATGGATGACGGATCATCAAGGTTGTCACCAACATTAGAAGGCGAACATTCAAATTCTGAGCACGGAATTAAATGGGATCTGGTTGGTGCTGAAGTTGGATTTATTGTTGGCTTTGGAATTGCTATTGGATCACTTGTGTTGTGCAAAAGATGGAGTAAATGGTATTTTAAAACTATGTATAAAATCCTTGGTAAGATATTCCCTTAGCTGGAGGAAAGATTTGGCCCTCATCGAAGACATGTTGACATACATCAAAGGTGGACGCGTTGAAATGATTACGAAGAGCAATACACCGTGATCTGCAGTAATATTTACTCTTTGAAATGTCTTGTATTAAGAGTTGTGAAGTTCCAGCAGACGAGATTGAACCCTGTCGAAAGACACGGTTCTAGGCACAACCTTCTGCTAATTTGAGTTATTAAGAATATATATTGTAAGAGTCATTGGAGAAATTGTAGGTGTCTTTTATTAGGAAGGAAATATATTGTGTTTATAGTTTTCCTTGTAATACAAGGTTTGTGTGTGTGTGTGTGTGTACAATAAAGCTTCAGTGAATAATAAATAAGAAAGTATTTTGAGTGTACAATTCTGCTTAGCATCGAGAGCTAGGACTAAAAAAAACCTAACGTACCACCGTGCCGCTGCTGCTCAAAATCTGCGAGAGTTATATTGTTTCTGCCGTTCCACTTTCCGAGGACTGTTTCCTTGCACTTACCGTGTGTACCTCAGGGTTGGTTTTGAGATGTCGGGAGCCTTGTACCAAATTTATAAAAAGGGCCATTCTTAAGACAATCTTAAAAAAAAAAAAATGAACAATGTACTGATGCTAAAAAGCAATACTGAAACAAACTTAAAAACTCACAGTAATTATCGGTTTCTAAATATCATTAAATGTAAAGAAAGCTATAAAAATAATCATATTACTAAATAATCAACAATCAGTTTAATCTTAAGAAACAAATGAACAAAACTTAAAAAAGTCTGGCACTGAAGTTTCACTTAAAGATGCTTCTTTGTGCATTCTTTGCTATAAAATCATCGATTAAACCTTTATAATCAATTTTGTCTAAGAAACCACTTTCAATCGATATCAAAGCAAGTGCATTTAACCTTTCCTGCAACATGGTTGATTGTAAGTATGATTTTAATAACTTTAACTTTGAGAAACTTCTTTCCACAGATGCAATGGTAACGGTACAATCAACAAAATTATATGCAATGCTTGTAGTCGGGAAACAACGCATCCTCTTTAAGTAGTTCAATATGTCAATGGATGTCTTCATTTCTTTCGGCAAACACTCTCGTAAAGGCATCAATTCTACAGATAATGCATCCCCATTAACATCAAAGAACTTACCTTTCTTGAGAAAGTTTTGAAGATGATCACAACAATCTTTCAATTTATCATTGTCCATCGAATTCAACCTTTATGAAGTGAACAAAAACCCAAATATATCATCTATGCTTGATATTCTTCAAACCTTCTCTTCAGTGAACCAATAACTTTACCTATTATATATAAAAAGTAATGAACCCAAAAAGATCCCTCCGCTGATTGTTCAGTTAATTGGGATGATTCATAATCATTCTCATCAAAGTGTCTTTTGCTACGAACTTGACGCTTTTTGGAAACACAAAATCAATTTCCATTTCAATAGCAAGTTTTTAGCATTAATTATGGCCTCCGCAAACTCAGTTTCTCTTTACTTTTCAAAATAAGAGATCAATCTTTGTACTTATTCTATATCAACATCAATAAGCATCTCTTTAGATTGTAAATCTTTGCTAACCTCATTACAACATCCAATATTTTGTACTAAATACTTTATATATAGTTCTAGTTAAATACTTCAAAATTGAAACATGAAGCGATGAGCAAAGATGTACTTGTATGGTGCGAAAATATCAACTTTAAGCCACAACGAAATGTTATGCGTCAAATGTTTCACATTCGAAAAAGGACTAGAATCCTCGCAAATATAATATATATGCATTATTGATTTGTCAAACTTATTAGCAATACAATACAATTCTTTAATCACAGATAATAACCAACATGAAAGATAACAACCATGGACTAAACTTTGCAAATTGTAGAACCACCATAAGGGCATTACAACAAAAAGGGTGCACCATCGTCTAAGGATCTTGCAATCGTCAGTAAAGAAGCATTACTATGAGTTAGCTTCAACAAACGTCGAGTTAATTTCCTCTCCAAAGTCTTTTGTCATGCACATAAATCAAAAGAAAAAGAAAAATTACTATCTTACTCTGAAAACAGTCGCCGCTCAATGATCTTGAAGATGCTACTAGTACAAAAAAAATAAAAAATCTTTAATTTGAAGACTCATTTGATATCTCTCTTGGAACACAAAAAATCCTACGTGGCACTTCAAATTTAATTATATGGACTCTCTTGAAAATGCTATGAGTACATCATTTATGGGACTAAAAAGAATATATATGTATGTATGTATAATTATTTTTTAGAAGAATTAATTCAATTCTTGATTATAGTAGGCACAATTCAAATAATCTATGCAGCTTCAACATCACATATTAAAATCTTTGACCAAAAAAAAAATCACATATTAAAATGGATTTCTAGCTTAAAGACGACAAACAAATGATAGGTATACGTGGGTTCCATATTCTACTCACATGCTCTGCCAACCATGCATACGTATATGAGATGCGAATAGACTCATAAAATAACAACGTCAATCTTTACACAAATTAATATTAATTACTATATATTGATGTTATATTCCGCTGTCATATGTCTCAATCTTTTATATAATCAAATCGCACATACATAATATTTTTTAACATAAAAATCATGCAAGAGATCATGTCTAACTCAGCAAAGAAATTCGTTATGTACCCCATACATTATACTATGTAGTCCTATCTTTATATATAACAAGATGGCCAGTGTGGAATATGCTTCCCTGTACCAAACCTATAGAGGGACGTCAATATGACCTCTTGTATGCCAAAAGTAGACATACTTCCTAATCATTTACAACATAAATATTTACCACTGCAGGCGAGTAATAGAGAGAATATAACGTTAAGATTTCAAAGTCGAATGCCAATGGTCCAATACTAAATACATCAACGTTATCCCAACTTTAATCATCTGCACGGCCCAACGTGTTGAGTTTTGTTGCAGAAGACAATAATGCTACTAGTAATAGAACCATTCATTTATAAGTGGTAATATATTATGTCATACTTTATATGTGACTCTTCAAACACTTACCGCAGTTTTCAACATGTTATTTTCTTCACCAAGCCGTTCTAGTTTTGCAAACACAAAAATCCTGCGACAATCCAAGCCTTGACTATAGATGGATTCGGCCTTGATTTTGGGCTTGATTAATTGACGAAAAAACTAGGACTCGATTTGTGGGCATGTTCGTGATTTGATTCCATCAATTAACATTTGATTTAAATTAAGAAGAAATTAGGTTCACATCCTTCTTTTTGCTACACCATTGATTAAAATACTATTCATTTTCAAATTTTTATCAAGGTCTTTGGGTATTAATAACATCATTAATTATTTGAATAATAAAATATTTTTAATTTTAAATATATTCCTTTAGTGTTAAAAATGTTACAATTAGTATATTTATATTTATGGCT